GTTAACGTGCCTGTGCACGACCCGATCTCTAAAATCTGGTGACAGCAGACACCTTCTTGCTTAAACCACTTACGGCATACATTTTATTTTAAGGTGACTGCTTGACTTTTGTCCCAAGAGAAAAAAATTCATTTTCTTTGTTTCTCTCAGTATCCGTGATGTGATTTCTTATTTGTTACATTTCTCCTACTTGTATTTCCAAACTGTACTGTTTTTCTGAAGGTTACATGTCCTGAGGTCTCGTTTACAACTGCAGACCTTTGCTGCCCATCACGCCGCAGGTAATCACCCCTGGGCGTCAGAACAGTGGACTGGATCTTTGTCTTGCTGTCTTTGAAATGTATATGATGACACTGGTCTGTTGGATGCCATTCCCTTTGCTCTTCTACTCCGTTAGATATTTAAAGTTTTTTAGTGTGTGTGTGGTCTTGGTATTCTTTTCTTCTCTGCTGCTGTTCTCCATCAGTTTTCCTGGAGCATCCACTTTGGATTAGTGTTATGTGTTTTATTGATTACAGGAATAAACTTGATAGCTATAATTGTAAACAGAATCGTGGTCATGGTGCTCACAGATTGACAAGACCCAAAGTCTGACAATAAGAGATAGCTGACCCCTTTCATTCAACAGTGAATACATTTCTGTTTATTGGGTTAAATACTGGAAAATTACACATTATCAGGAAACTTTGTCTCCTGGGCAGTTCATTTATTAGGCCCACCGAATGCCAGAAGCCAGGGGAATACTAAGGGGAATGGCTGAATCCTTGTTTGAAGGGAGTTGACAGTCCAGGAAGAGAGAGATCGATACAAATATGATATATTATAAAGGCTTCAGTGGAATGAGATCCTGGGTTGAGTGGGAGAGTGTGGTCAGTTCTACTTTACTGGGAGGTAGGAATCAGAGGAGAGCAGAAAAGTCCTGGTGGGTCTCAAGGCTAAACTTTAAAAATAGATTAGGTGTCTTACTGGACAACAAAGGTCAAAGGAGCTTCTGAGGAAGCAAAGACACAAAAGCAGTAAAAAGCGTGGTGTGTCAGGCTGTGGCAGTTCAGATAACTGGAGCACAGTGTATGGAGTGAAGAGACCGTGAATGGAGCAAGGGAACCTCATGGAGAACCTCGCGTTGCATGCTGAGCAGGTGCACAGGCACGCGATACATTGAAGCGAGGTGGGAGGCAGGGTAAGCGTGAGAGGGGGTAGAGGTTTTAGTAGGGCAATGGCATAAATTGGTTGCATTTGATAAGGTCATCTCAGAGGAAGTTCTAATGGGAACTGAGCCAGTTGGAGTTGTTCTCAACTGTGGTGACCTGATGTACTATGACATCTGTCAAAACACATTTATTTATGTATCTTTCTGAGTTTAATTTTCTGATTTAAAAAAACAGCAACACAGTTTGGCTAGTTATTTTTTTTCCTCAGACTGCCCTTACTTAATTTTCATAGCAAGTTGAGTCTACCTATAGATGACTTAGATTACTTATATTCTTTTTCTAGCATCTAGAAAATTTTTTGAAACAAAAATTTCTATCCGTTCCTTGAAAGTTTGGTTAAAATCACGCAGAAAACCATTTAGGCTTGGAGTCCTTCATTTGGAGAATGAAGGAAGTTTTTGTCTACTGATTCAGCTAGTAATCTAGAGGTTACTGGATTATTCAGACCTTCTATTTTTTTCCTTGGATCAATTTTATAATTTATACATTACTAATAAAAGTGTCCAGTTGATGCCAAACCTATTCACTTTCAAAGTTACCTGCATAAAAGAAAGCACAAAAATATTTTGGGAGATATGGAAATATTCTGTCTTATTTGTGGAGGTGGGTTCATAGATGGGCACCTCTATCAAAACTTGCCAAACTGTGTATTGTGAATAGAAACAGTTTATAGTAAATAAAATATACCTCATAAAGTTGATTAACATTTATCTGCAGAAAATTATATAGTTTTTTGGGATTTTTAAAAAAAAATTCTCATCTGTGTCTTTAGATATGTTTTCTTTTTGTCTTAATACTATTTATTTGGGCAGTCCCTCTTGCTTCTCCAGGCATCTTATTGAAGGTTTATCCATTTCATTATCTTTTAAAAATAGCCAGCTCTCTTGCAAGGACCTTCAGCATCCTTGCCTTCTCGGTCTTTCTGTCACAGTGTCTTGCAGTGCCCCCCCACCCCCATGCCACCACTTTGTGGGGGTAACTGACAGCACATGAGAAGGTAGGTGACTAGAAAAGAAGAGGGTACACCTGGGACAGAGGTCAGAGTTGAAGGGACAAGATTCCTTCTTTCAAGATGCTTCATCCAGCCAGCAGATCGGGCTCAGGAGGTCTTGGGGGCAGTTTCTTCTGTGCCACTTGATGTGGCTGACATATCATGTGGCATCTCTGAGAACTCCCCTCAGAATATGGAAGAGGGCTCAGCTGGCAATATGGATAGTCCTCACCATTTAGGAACTGGGCTCTGTCCCTTTTGCATTTAGGGCCATAATATTGGCTCTTGGTGGATGGCCCTCCCTTCACTGTCAGACTGATGAAAATGGGCAGCAGAGCCTGAAAATAATGTAGCATCAGTAGACTACTAATATAGTTTGCTGTCCTGGGATGTGTATGTTTGTTTTGCCAACTAAATATATTTGACTAGTTATAAGTGCAATTTACATTTTTTTATTTGTTAAAAAAATGGTCTTCAAGATTTGAAGGAGTTCATTATATTTGTTTATTGTAAAAACTTTATTGCTTTTTATTTTTCTTCTAGTCGTCAAATACATTCTAGAAGAAAATATAGCATTTGAGATGGACTAATTAATAATTCAGTGCTTATATCTGAATCCTAAATATGAGCAGAGGAAGTAATATCACTATTAAAAAAGTATATTCAAAGATGTCCCTCAATTATTTGGGACTTATTCAGAATAAGCAGGTATCATGTTACAGATGTGCCACACCATTCCTTATCCATGTAAGATCATTGTGTTTTTGAAAACTTGAAAGGAAAACTATGTTGCGGATGGGACTTGGCTACTTACAAAGTCTTACTAAGCACCTAATGAGCAATCTTGTGGGCTTTATCTGAATGTTGCTGGGCATCAGCAACAAAGTAATTTATCTTAAATCTCATTAGACCTCCTGAAATTAAAAAAAAAAGTGGTACAACCTTCAGTGATTCTTTATTTCCTTGTGCTATATTTTTAAAATATGTTTTTATTGATTTTTTTAGAGAAAGAGAGACATTGATGTGAGAGAGAAACATCCATCAACTGCCTCCTGCACACCCCATACTAGGGATCGAGCTCACAACCTGGGCATGTGCCTTGACCTGGAATCAAACGAGGACCTCAGTTCTGGGACAATGTTCGATCCACTGAGCCACATCGGCCAGGCTGATTTTTATTTTTATATTTGAAGCATCATTTGTTTTTTTGTTTTGTTTTTTTTTACTCTTGGGGAAAAATTGGAAACCCAAGATAGAAAATTATTGTCTTGTATGGTTTGCTAGGGTTGCCATAACGAAATACCACAGACTGAGTGGCTTGAACAGTGGACATTTATTTTCTCACAGTCCTGGAGACTGGAAGTCTCAGATCAAGGTGTCTTCAGGGTTGGTTTCTTCGGAGTCCTCTTTCCTGGCTTGTAGATGGCAGCCTTCTCCCTGTGGCTTCACGAGTTGTCAAGGTTTCCAGAGAAACAAAACCAACAGGAAAAAATCCTTTTCTTTATCTCTATTTATCATGTATGTATGTATGTATGTATGTATGTATCTACTGTCTATGGAGAGAGAGAGAGGAAGGAAAGGAGGGAAGGAGGGTAGGAAAGGGTGAGAGAGAGAGAGAAAGAGAGAGAGAGAGAGAGAGAGAGAGGTTATTTTAAGGAATTGGCTCACACTAGAGACTTTGGAAATCCAAAATAGAAAAAAGTTTCAGTTCAAGTCCAAAGGCACTAGGCTGGCAGAATTCCTTCGTGCTCAGAGGAGGTCACTCTTTGGTGTAGTAAGGCCTTTAGCTGATTGGATGAGGCCCACCCACATTATGAGAGTACTTTGCTTTACACAAAGTCCAATAATTTAAATGTTAATCTCATCCAGAAATATCCAGAATATGTTTGGCCAAATATCTGGGCACCATGGCCCAGCCAAGTTGATAGGTAAAGTTAATCATCATTGCGCCTGTACCCAACTGCAGCCACAACTTCCTTTCGTGTAAGGATACCAGTCATATTTCTCTCAGGCTTATTCTACTGACCTCATTGTACTATCTCTAAATATAGTCACATTCTGAAGTCTTGGGGATTAGGACTTCAACATACAAATTTTGAGAGAACACAATTCAGCAGATTACAGCCACTAATTTAAAAGTAAGCATATAGAAAAAGACTATTCAAAGGGAAAAACAGTCCTCTTAATACTGAAAATGTGTTATTTCCTCTGACTTCAGGGTGATTCTCAGATAGACCAATAAATTATTATGAAAAGTAACTTCTTTACATATTCACATATCTACAATTTAGGAATCTTTTTTTTTTCTTTGCCAAAGATATTGACATTACCATAGTAATTAGAGATTAGTTCTTTTTTTCAGTTTCTTATTCTGGCTATATCTGGATTTCTACCTGGTTTCCTTTGTGTTTTTGAATTTCAAGTTAGAGCGCAACATGTAAGATGTTTTTATATTGAGTTATGAATTAATTTGAAGTTGCTATTCAAACAGCCACTTTCCACTATTTCTGGCAATATAAAAAATAAACAATGGGAAAATTACCAAAAAAAAAAAAAAATAGAAGGGAAAAACAACAAGAGAATATAAAATGAGGACTAATCAGAATACACATCTTTGATGACTCTCTCAAATCATAAATGCAATCTGACAACGTTACTTGCGATGTTGTTTATCATTGGCTTTCTATCATTTGTTAGCATAGCATGTCTCTGACAGTCTTCAAATCCTTTGAACGAAAAGGGTAAAATGCTTTCCTCCCTCTGGTGCTGAAGAAGTGCTTCTGTCGTCTCGTTTGCAGACAACAAAGAGATGTTCCTTTCCAAAGCGGTTCACAAGTCCTTCCTGGAGGTTAACGAAGAAGGCGCGGAGGCCGCCGCCACCTCAGGTGCCCAGTGTTTTCTGCAGTCTTCTCACTGTTCCTAGACTTGTGTGTTTTTTTTTATTAGTTATTTATTTTTGTTACAGATGTTTCTCCTTCCTCCCTGCTCCCCAGACACACCCTCCCCATCCGGTCCCTTCCCCACTTTGTTGTCCATGTCCATTGGTTACACATATAAGTTCTGGGGTTTATCTCATCCCTCCCCACCCCCTCCTGGGAGGTTTGTCAGTCTGTACCCTCCTTCTATGTCTCTGGGTCTGTTTTGTTCATCAGCTTATTTTGTTCATTATATTCCACGAATAAGTGAGATCATAGGGTATTTCTAGACTTGTATTTTTGAAGCACTCTTGGGTGGGGCACCGGGGTCATTTTTAGAACCAAGCCAAAGCCAAAACACTGACTGCCCTGTCTCTGTGCTAACTTAGAAGTCTAGCTAATCCTGAACCAGCTAGAATTGTCTTAGGAGGCTGCGAAGCACACACACACTGCAGGACCCCTGCGGGGGCTCCCTGCCAATTTTGGCTGCTGAGTGGAAGGACCGTGGCGGCTCTGTGGCAGGGCGTCCCTCGTGGCGGACTGTTCCACTATCTCAAACACTTCCCTGCTGCCCAGCTAAACGTTTTTCTTCCTACCTAATTACTTGTGAAAGTAGTTTATATTTTGTCATGAAAAAGTTTTGATTTTAAAAGCGCAGACATAATCACCTAAGGCAAGAGAAACAAAGGAAAAAATGAACACATGGGACTACATCAAACTCAAAAGCTTCTGCACAGCAAAAGAAACAGCCATCAAAATGGAAAGGGAACCCACAGTATGGGAGAGCATAACTGCCAATGAGACATCAGATAAGAAGTTAATTTCTAAAATATATAGAGTGCTCACACAAGTCAATAAAAGGAAGACAAAGAACCCAATTAAAAATGGGCAGAGGACCTAAATAAACACCTCTCCAAACAGGACATACAAATGGCCAAGAGACATATGGAAAAATGTTCAACATCACTAATCATCAGAGAGATGCAAATTAAAACAGCAATGAGGTATCACTTCACACCTGTCAGAATGGCCACCATCAACAAATCATCCAACAACGAGTGCTGGTGAGGATGTGGAGAAAATGGGACTCTAGTACACTGCTGGTGGGAATGCAGACTGGTGCAGCCACTATGGAAAACACAATGGTGTTAACTCAAAAAATTAAAAATGGAACTGCCATTTGACCCAGTGATCCCACTTCTAGGAATATATACCCTAAGAAGCCTGAAACACCAATCAGAAAGGATACGTGTACACCTATGTTCATAGCAGCACTATTTACTATTGCTAAGATCTGGAAACAGCCCAAGTGTCCATCAGTAGACGAGTGGATAAAAAAGCTATGGTACATGTACACAATAGAATACTATGCAGCTTCAAGAAAGAAAGATCTCTTATCCTTTGAGATGACATGGAGGGACCTGGAAAGTATTATCCTAAGCGAAACAAGCCAAGCAGAGAAAGACCAATATCACATGATCTCACTTATATCTGGAATATAATGAACTAAACAAACTGATAAACAGAATAGACCTAGAGTCATAGAAGTAGGGTACAGACTGACAATCCTTAGAAGTGGGGAGGGGGGAAGGGATAAACCACAGAACTTGTACGCATGCATGCATAACCGATGGATGTAGACAACAAAGCTGGGGATGGGGTGGGAGGAGATGGGGAGGTGGATGTCAATGGGGGGGAAAAGAGAAACATCTGTAACAAAAATAAATTAATAAAAAATTTTAAAAATAAAATAAAAGCACAGACAAAAACAAGAATATATGATAGCATGTAATAAATAATTTTAACTAATAATACCAGTAAAATCATAATTTTAAGTAAATAATTTGAGGAATTTGACATAAACTAGGTGTTCCCAGCAAAATGGCAAATGTGCTGATCACGTTGATCATTCTGACTGCCCTAGCAAAGTGAGACTATTTCCATTGCCTACTTTTCCTCCTTTTATTTGGTTGGATTTGTTTCCATTTTATCATCAAATTTTAGTCAAATTTCTATCATCACTGCCCCATAAAATGTAACATATCATATTTGCATACATCATTTCCACATTTGTGTAAATGTGTCCAGTAAAAAGATAGCACAGTTAAAACAGTATTTTCAGAGGAAATAGAAACAGAGTAGTCTCAGGCATCAAGAGAGCTTAAAACTTAACATACTTTAATTGTGACCTTTTTCTGACAATTGAATCACCCTGCAGCAAGTATAATACGGTCATTGATAGTGAGGATCACAGGAGAATTCAGTTTCCCAGCTGCAGGAAATGCATTGAGTTTCTCACTGCTGTCTTTTTCATTTAATCACTGCCACTCTGGCCACTTATAGAGGCCTGGGGACTTGCTATGTAAAAACACCCATTTCAGACAAAAGAAATAATGATTTGAGAATATGAAAACACTCTTAGTTTCTTAGGGTTTTTTTTTTCTTCTTCTTCTCTCTTTAACTCAAAGATCACTTTAGTGAAGACAGTGTTTATCTGGGACTGAGACTTAAAGTTTTGTAAGAGGCAGAATAAATTGTCCTATTAGATTTGGTGGAGTAGAGATGGGAAACTGTGTGGGAGTGTGTGTGTTTCAAGTCAAGTAGAAATGTTAGCACCTTTATAATTTTTCTCTCTTTAAGTCTTTAAAAATCGTGTTTTCCGTACACCATTGCCTTTGCATTAAATATAGATGGTTTGGAGAAATGACTCATTAGTCCCTGCACATCCACAGACGTAATGACTTTCTCTCTGCACTCAGGAATGATCGCCATTAGTAGGATGGCTGTGCTGTATCCTCAAGTTATTGTCGACCATCCGTTTTTCTTTCTTATCAGGAACAGGAGAACAGGTAAGTCTGTTTTGGGAACAAAACTTTCATAATAGGTTAAAAAGAAATACTTTTCTAAAATCGAGGACATTTTCCCACATTGTTTATCAGATTAATTTCTAATGTCCAAAAGATTTTTTTTAATGAAAATAATATATTTATATTTCCATTTTTAGAATATTGCTTTTTGTAAGCAAGGAAAAGATAAGTTCCCTTTTTAATATAAATATCTTATTTTTGCTTGTTTATCCCTTTTTCTGTTCACTTCCAACGAAATGCAGGGACCATCCTATTCATGGGACGAGTCATGCATCCTGAAACAATGAACACAAATGGACATGATTTCGAGGAGCTTTAAATCATTTCACTTGAATAACAAGAAAAATAGTAACTAAGCACATTATGTTTGCAATTGGTATATATTTAAGATTTGTGCTTTACAGTATAGCTTAAAATAATATTTAAAATAACTCCAGTTAAAAACAATGTATGTAAATTATAAACCAATGTGTCGAGAAATGTTATCAGTATTATTGAGGTAATATTGAGGTAATGGTCTTGTCCTGTCACTGTGTTTGTTGTGCTGGTGTTGAAAATAAAAGTACATCGTGAACATGTGAACAGCTCTGGTTTTCATTTTAGAAGTTGCAGCAGGGAGATACCTCTAGGTGAAATTTGGAAACAGTAAGTTTTCCAAACTCAACATGAGCACATCTTAAATCTTTTGTAATCAGACGGACTCAAGGCAGCAAAGTAAACGAGCACTGTACATGTATACATAACAAGCAGGAGCTGTGCAGCGAAGACAGGCACTCCGCAAACAGTCTGATTGTTCTTCTCTCGGGAGGGGATGCGGAGTGTAATGTGAAAGAATGCAAACTGAACATCTTCCGTATGGCTCCACGACAAAACTTGTTAGGAAAAAAAAGGTCTATGCAAACCCATGGTTGATAGCTATGGATTATTGACCATGTCTTTGAAAACCCACTTGGCTTCAGAAGCCTGACATAGGTTACAACCTGGTTCATCACCATGTTTTGCTGCTGCAAGTAGAATCTGAACTACAACCAAGTTCTCAAAAGTCCATAGGTAAAGCATACATACAAATTCATAGTAAAAATACGCTCTATGGTATGTATGTGACCAGAGAATTAATGACAAAAAACGTGCTAGTACAGATACCAGAAATCAGCTGGGCTTGAGCTGAATTCTACCTACAGAGGTGCTCGTTTGTTCTAAGAGGTTTTTGCGTTTTTGAACATGAATGTCTATAATCGGGGCATCACATTTTTGTTTTTCCCATTGGTTACTTGATGGCTCCTGGTGCACTTGTTTGAGGCCTCTGGAGAGTTACAAGAACTTTGCAGAATATACTGCTCTTATTCTCTAGAACAAGAAGTAACTGATTCCTGTGGGGCAGGGCTCTAGTAAATTGCTTTGTTATCCATTGGCTGAAATAATGGTATTTGTTTTGGGGGTTGGGGAGAAAAAAGAATGATCTCATCATGTTCTAGGAATGGAACTAGACACATTTAATACCAAATTTTTGATTCTGTGATTAATAGTTTCAGAAAAAGTTCAAAACATTTCCAAGGGAAGGGGAAGGGGAGCGGGAAGAGATAAACCAAAGAATTTATATGCTTAACCAATGGACACAGACAATAGTGTGGTGAAGGGGTGGGGGGTCTATAGGGGAAGAAAGGAGGGACATCTGTAACACTGTCAACAATAAAGATACATTTTTAAAAAAATCTAACAGAAATGGCTTGGATGTGACTTTCTTGTGTTAGGTATTTTGCTGTGATTTGGAGGTGTTAACAAGAATTGATATTATTGTTAACTTTAAATCTGTTCAGGAGAGTTGTGGTTTGGGGAAACCAGGTCTAACCATGGACCTACTGAAGTTTAGACTCTGAGAAAAACTTGAAAATCTGTATTTTTAACAAGTTCTCTTCATGATTTTGTTACACATGAAATCTTGACTATTGCTAAATAAAGAATGCATGTGAGATACGTGTATATTAATTGTTCAGGTGGAGTTAATTTATAGAAAATTAGATCAATCAGTGGAGTGGCCTAAATTAATGCTTCTCACACTTTCTGTGCATTAGAATTACTGGGGGATGGTACAGCAGACTCTCACTTAATTGGTCTGGGGTGGGACCTGAGCACCTGCATTTCTAACAAGCTTTGTGGTGATGCCATTGCTGTTGGTCCAGGGACTCAAGTTGGTAACAAAATTACATTTAATTTAAGGTTCACATGTTTGATATTTTTATACATGGAAACAGAAAACAGTATACTTTTCATACAACTTAGAGAGATTCAAGAGACACTTAAAAATATAGAGACATTTATAGGCAAAGCCCACAAAAGAATTTATGAACACGGAAGAACACAGTGCTTAACACTGAATCTTTTACAGCGCGTGGTCTGAGAAAACTTGCAGTTTGTTCATCCAGCTGAGGTTATTGTAGGGCAGTGCTCTTGTTTTCATTTGTAATGTAACAGATCAGGCTGACTGATGTTGATGCAGGATTGTTATTCTGAGTTTGTGAAATTCCTCATTACTGGATCTCTACTTGCTATGAATTACCTATTTGCTGTATCTGTATGTTATGAGTCAATTAAATGAGTTACCTATAAGAAAGAGTCAACATCTTTAGACAAGCATAAAGGCCAAAATACAATTTTTTTAAGCTAATATAAGATTAAACTCTACCCTTCGGAATGTTTACCTTAAGATATTTCAATACAATTTAGACGTCCCTTAAATAAAACCTGTTCTTAGCATGCTAATGGAGTGGCTAAAAATAGAATACTTGATAGTACCAAGTTTTTCCTATTTGACTTTGTTCATAATTTCTTCAATATTTTATTTTCTATTGAAAAAGTGGCATCTTATGGTTCAGTTCCATTTATTTTTAAATGTATACATTACTATACACACACACTGTACACAGCTTACGGAAACTTCTTTCTCTTGAAATATATTTGGGGGAGAATAAATCAACAACAATTATGCATCTTTTGTTTTTAAATTAAATCTTTTTTGTCAGTTTTGTAGAGGTATAATTTACAAATAAAATTGTATTTATTTAAAATGTACAACATGATAATTTGATATATATATCCATTGTAAATGATTACCACCATTAAATTAACACATAGTTACATTTTTGTGTTGTGTGGTGAGAATGCTTTAGATTTACTCTCTGAGAAAACTTCAAGCATACAATATAGTATTTATAACTATAGTCATAAGGTTATACATTATATCCCCCAGAACTTATTTATTTTATAAATGAAAGTATGTACCCTTTGACCAATATCACCCGATTTTCCCCAAACCCTAGCCCCTGGCAACCATCATTTTACTCTGTTTCTATGAGTTCTAGTCCTTTTTATTTTTTTTTTAGATTCCACATTATGAGTGAGATCCTGCAGTATTTGTCTTTCTCTGTCTGGCTTATTTCACTTAGCATAACATCTTCCAAATTTATCCATGTCATCGCAAATGGCAGGACTTTCTTTTTTTTTTATGGCTGAACAAAATGCCTTTGTGTTTATGTTCATCTATATATAACCACATATATTTTTATATATATGTTACATAGGAATATAGATATAGATATATAGATTATGATTTCTTTATCCATTCATACATTGATAAACACTTACGTTGTTTTTATATCTGGGCTATTATGAATAATCTTGCAATAAACATGGGAGATATCTCTTCCAGATGCTGATTTTACTTCTTATCTGTTTTAGATATTAATCCCTTTTCATATATAGGGTTTGCCAATATCTTCTCCTATTCTGCAGGTTGCCTTTTCACTGTGTTGTTTCCTTTGCTGTGCAGAAGCTTTTTAGTTTGATTAGTTTCAATTATTTTTTCTTTTGTTGCCTGTTCTTTTGGTGTTATATCCAAAAATTATTGTCACAACCAATGTCAACAAGCTTTTTCCGTGTTTTATTCTAAGACTGCAAACACAGAGAGTATACTTAGCCCAGTTGCTTTGTTTAATGTTTGCCAACAGCTATTTTTTAAAAATTTTTATTTATTGATTTGAGGGAGTGAGAGAGAGAAACATTGGTTTGTTGTTTCACTTATTTGAAATAGATAGAGACAGAGAGGGAAAGAGAAACATTGATTTGTTGTTCCACTTATTTATGCATTCATTAGATTCTTGTATGTACCCTGACCAGGGATTGAACCCACAGCCTTGGTGTATCAGTACAATGCTCTAACCAACTGAGCTACCCAGCCAGGGCCAACAAAGTTGTTCTTGAGGGAATGTTGAAGTCTCTTCTCTACATGCACATAGACATAGCTCTGGAAAAAATCTTGTCTTATGAAGACAGGGAGAGACATTTTCACAGAAGAATCAGTTTAACTACTTTGGTTCAAAGTATAGAAGATAGTTTACATTAATAAGCTTAAGCTAAAAGTGCATTATGTTCATTATGTTCTGATTCTGATGAGACAGAGATTCATGGATTTGTGAAAAAAAAAAAGTTTAATTAATGAAAATAAAACCGATGCTAACAAAACATGGACTTTCCTTTGTCCAGATTCACTCTTTTTATACATTAAGTATAGATGAAATTTCCCTCTCTATGAAAATTACAGAGATTTTGTTTATTTGGGGAAAAATTGAGTGTTTTTTAGTGTGACATATAGCATTTTTCAGAAAATGTTTTTTCTGCAATCATTATAGCTTCTAGCTGATACTGCAGTTTTCTCTTCCTCAAACAGACAACATTTTATCTTTCCCCTTTCCTGAAAGTTTTGTGATAATTTATAAATATATAAACCTGACATTTGTTCACACAGTTGCTCTCTGTTCTGTCTATTATTCAAGGAAAATTGCTGATGGAGAGATTATCTTTTTCTATATGATTGAGTGACCCCCCTCTTTTGCTATTTTCTTTTTAAATATTTATAACCAGATACCTATTGGGGGGAAAAATTTGCTGTGGAATGACAGAGAACCAATTTAAACACCAGATCTACCACTTACCAGCTATCTGCCTTGGAAAAAATTGTTTAATTTTTATCTATATTTAAATAACACCTACTTCATTGGATAATATTAGTAATTCAATAATATAATGTATATGAAGACTTTATAGTACTTGGCACATAGCTGTCACTCATGAAAGGCTAGCTATTAACATCGACATTACCATACTTCACTCTACTACGGTGCAATATTTTTCATATTTTAACACTTGGGAAAATGAGTGAACCGTGGTGTTGGACAATTGCTGGTAAAACTGGAAGTCGTGACTTTAGATGACATTACCTGTGCATGCAGTCGTCTTGCTGAATGACAGTTGTCTAATTCCCTGGCTCCTCAGTCAACAAACCATTCAAAAAAGAAGCATAAATCCTGCTTCTTGTCTGACAATTTATCATTGATTTGGGGGGGTGGTAAGATAAAATGCGAGTTGCAAAGCTTGTGGAATTGGTGTCAATAGCTTGGAAGAAAGTCCCCGGGACGAGAGTTGTGTTCTGGGCGTGGCCGTGTCACCAGCGCTCGGAGTGGCACGGAGGCCAGTGGTCGGGGCAGCCAGGGACGTCACACAAAGTGACAGCGCTGCACTCTGTGTTG